CCCAACCCTAAATCTACCCCTTACAATAATGGAAAAACAGTAATTATTGTTGTACAGTGTGACAAAAAATTACGCTATATTGATGTGCGCATGCCCAGTAGACGAATCTGTGTACCATCTAGCCCAGGGGTGCCCAAACTCGGTCCTGGAGGGCCGGTGTCCTGCAGAGTTTAGCTCCAACTTGCCTCAACACACCTGCCGGGAAGTTTCTAGTATGCCTAGTAAGAGCTTGATTAGCTGGTTCAGGTGTGCCTAATTGGAGTTGGATCTAAACTCTGCAGGACATCGGCCCTCCAGGACCGAGTTTGGGCACCCCTGATCTAGCCAGAACCCTGTTACCTCATGGGAGTCCACAATGTCTGTCCAGCTCTTTTCCAGTGCTTTTTCAGTACCTCCCTCCCCCCATGTCCACCTCAGGTCCTCAGGTATATTGAATAAGTCCAGAACCTGTTTCAACGTGTCCACCTGCCCCTGTACACCACCTGATCGTTCCTGAGAGAGAGATTGGAATAAGAATAATGTAATCAGTCTATGTATCCAACTATGAACCAGTTCTGGCAAAAAAAAGAAAAGAAAAAAGAATTAGGCCTACCTCAAATGTGCCATTTTTGTCAGACACTCCCTGGCTAAAAAGTGCCTGCTTTAATGCACCTCTGCTCTTCACCCCGGCAGATGTTCCCTTGCTCACTGTAGAAAAGTCCACAGCTGCCCTCTGCTTCTTTTTCTGACAACCAAAATTGATAAATGTGACAAGCTGCATTGACAGCAATCAGCTAAAGCCTGATTAAACCTGTGACTGCTTATAGAGCACAACAGGATTTAGAACATGGTCCTACAAAAACATCCTTTGGTCCTGGAAAAGCATTCCTCATAGCGTGACTGACACAAATGTTATTCCAGAACCAACAAAGGACATTGTTCGATGTTCTACTTGGTTAAATCATTTGAGCATCAATCAGATCAGCATATGCACCTGTTTGGACATCTGAACAGAGTTGCAGAATGAAAGCAGTGGAATTTGGTGTTTAATTCAAAAGACCTTAGGTTGAATCTGTGTGTGAGGGGTTTCTAAAACTTAAAAAAAAAAAAAAAATTGGAAGTAGAGCACTCCAATGTCCTGGCTTTGATTCCCAGGGATCATAGATGCATATAACTTTGAACAACTTACATACCATTCAATTTCAGCAAAGAAAAAAAAATCATAAATATAAAGTTTTTGGGATATGGAGGGCCAAATGACAGTCATTCATGAATTTGCGTAGTGAATTAAAAATTAATGTAAAGATTTGTTTGTGCTTTTTTTTAGCCTATTTAATAATAATGATAATATTTAAAACATTTTTAATTATTTAATTTTGAGGTATGCGGCGCTCCATATTGGAAGGTTGTACCACACAATATTTTGCATACCTTGAACTAACCTTATCATGTCATAACACACATTGACCATGACACACATTATTTTTAGGGGTCCTGATATCATTTCCTTTTTTTGATTTTCTTCAACACTTTGGTCGCACCACTTGTCTTTGCCGGTCGCACCACATGACAGAGATTTTTGCTAATAAAACAATATGCTTAACTACTTAATATTTTCCTCTGAAGAATTTCATCTTTTTATGAGGTCTTTTTTCGTAATTATGATATCAGAACCGTATAGAACCCCCTGACATTTTTGACCATTTTGGATTGTCACGTTATTGATCTAAAATGCATTAAAAGTCAGATTATATGAAAGCATCTGCATAATGCAAAGAAATTCCAGTGCTGCATATAATCTGATGAATTCAGTACCTGGTAGCCTACAGTGTTGTATCTGTGCTTCTCTTGTGCCCTCCGCTGAGCGCCTGATGGTACTGCAACAAATCCATCAGGAGTGTCGGTGTCTGCCTCTTTCTCTTCCTCCCGCTGTCTGTCACTCTTGTCACCGGCGGCAGTTTCCTCTGGGGCCATGACATTGCTCAGTTCCGGTCCTTTTGATGGATTACTAATAGACAGATAGGATTACAATAAGAGGAACACATGAATAAGATCAACAACAGTGCAACAGTAAACAGGGAAAGTAGAAGAGAAAATAGTAGCAGCACTGAGTAATTACAAAAAAAGCTGCTATGCTATATTTATCACTGTGCTGTGCATAATACATAACAATTTAAAACCCACAAAAAACTGTAAACCACAACTAGAAGGAACTGATACCAGACTTTTGAAGCCCACTGATGTGACCTTTAAATCTCGAAACATTTCACATCTCCTGACCTAGCATATGCCACACACACACTTGTTTTTCTATCATGGTGGGTTTTCTATCATTTTCCATTGACGTATCTTGTTTTTATATTGAGCTAATGATGTCTTCTACCCCCTCAATCTGTACCTTCGCGCAAACCTTTTTTTTTTTTTTTTCATTTTATATTTTACATTGTATTAACTTATATTGTCATTATTACATTATCTACTATGTTATTAAGGCATTTTTCCCGTGGGAACTGTCAGCTGCTCCCCTGTAGGTGAACTGAGGTTTTGCAATCCTTAAGTCATCTTCTTCTGGACCCCAAAATATAGACAAAATGTGACCCTCCCATGCATTTGATTATTTAAATAAGGACATATTATGGACTTCTGTTGTTTTATATTAAGTTAAATGTAAATATATAGGTTAAATATAACCCATAACACTAACTTTAGAAGAAAACATACTGTATAATGCTATTAATAAAATATAATCCTATTTGATAAATATTAATAATTAAAATGAATTCATTATTAAAAACTTCATATTTATTAATGTAAGTACTAGTATAAATTGTAGAAATATTATATTAATATACCATACTATTATTTTTATTTTACTGTTAAATTAGTATATTACACAAATATAATTTTAATTATATAATTTATATTTGTGTTTATTGCATATTTAATATATATGCATTTGTAACTCTTGTTGTAACTTAAAAATTAAACCACTAAATCCCCCAGCCATTTTCTGCTGAATTAACATAATCACTATAATTATTTTTTTTTTTAAATGTTGCAGCATCACACATGGAACTCTGGGAATGATAGTTTTTTTTTTTTTTTCATTTTAAATTATAGGTTGACTTGTTCTTTTATTTCCCAAAACTGTACATTTATTTTTATCCCCAAAGGAAGGTTTAGCTCACTTCAGAGGAATAATTTGTCCCGAAAATGTAAGTAAATAGTGTTAAACACACACACACACACATACACTACATGCCAGGACTCCATATATAAGAGACATGGCCATGCACAGACAAGCTGAAGCTTATAAACACACATATTCTTACACGCCAACTCTGATTCATAGAATTCACTGTAATTCAGGTGAGTCACTTTTCCCCAGTCATGCATGAATCTCACGGGCATAAAATACACTGGTGTGTGATTCAACATTATCATCAGCCATCAATTCAGGGTAAAATACCCCGAACGAACAAACACTCACACACAGCCATATACATGCACATAAACTGTTTGCAAATGCACATTTGTAGTTACACATACAGGCATAACATTGAATATACCATAAACACAAAGTCATAACACATAATTTTGAAAACAAATTCAGCATAAGATATGTAAAAGTAGATGTAAATGCAATTTGCATCAGCAAGTCCCAGTACAATCTCAGTTCTTTAATTATTTACATGTGATTCTAGTTTTAGACAATCTCCTTTACCACACACACACACACACACACACACACATTCTCAGGCAAGTCTTCTCCAACAGATACCTGGATTTAACTGTGTCCATTTCCCTCACACAGACATCTTTAAGGTCTCTTTCTGTCCCTCTTGTCTTCCTGAATCTGTCTTTCGGAGTCCTCAGTGTCTTGCTATATCGTTTTTCTTTAACCCTTCCTTCAGTAACAGGTTGAGCAAGCGAGACCAGATTCTTCAGACTTAGATTTCAGGCATGGCTGCACCCTGAGAAGATAAACCTGACTGGGCCATTAGTGCTTTCTGATGTGATTGACAACCAACCAGCCGTTGATCACAGGTACATAACAACATGTAAAGTTATAATTGCTTAGACAGGGATGATAGGTTTGTGGTTTAGTTCCACAAAGACAAGCATGCACACACACACACACACACACACGCACACACGCAAACATGCAAAATAAGGAAGAAAGATGTTATTTTGCCTCCAATCAGGAAATTTAAATGCTGGGAGGATTTGACAGGTGCTTACCCAAGAAAACCCCATCAACATGATGCCATGGTAATATTTAGGTATACCTAGATTTGGCTCTAGATTTAAAGGATCTTCCTTTAGTGTAAATCTGATTTTGAACATTTTATCATGTGTTAAAATGATTCGTGTCTATAGTACAGATTGTGTGGTACCAGTCAAGCTGTGAACGCGTGCAGTTCAGCTGATTAAAAAAAAGGAAGCGAGAGAGGGCCTGAGAAATATCAGACAGGAATAAATTCAGTGGGATAGGAATGCAGAAAAGCAACATTGCGCAAGATAATAACAGATGCGCATCAGGACATAAGTACACAAGCGCCTTCATCAAAGGAGACACGGCTGGGTTGGTGCTTCTCTAGTGGTTAAGGGTCTGCTAACAAAACACTTGTAGATTTAGTGCTGGTGAGGCCTTTTACAAAGCATGAACTTCCAGGTTTCATCTAAAATGATAATGAATTAGAATGAAAGGCAAATTACACATGAATTAAAAATATATAAGCTGTTTATTTGTGTTTTTTTTTTTTGGCAATTAAATGTAAAAAATATAGCATTTTTAAAAATGTATTTGGGGACATTTTTCTTATATATTTTTTCACCCATTGTAAAAAAAAATGTGACACGTAAAAATGATTGGAGTTCATTTTACAAAAAATACTATTTCAGTCCTTCTACTTGTGTTACTTGTTTGCAGTTTTCTGTTTCTGCACCATGTTTTTCCAGCATATATGGGTTATTTATATAGGAATTTTCCATTAAGGCAAAACAAAAAAAAATACATCTGAGGTCGAATTAGCTTTATAATTTGCATTTGCATTGAATTTTAATGCTAGTTTCCAGCTGAAGCCCCATATTAGCCCGTGGAATAATGCAATAATATAAATCACCTCTCAAATTGTATAAAATACCCCTCAAATACAAATACAATTATAAACTGTTTTTGTTTTGTACATGCAAATACAACTGCTATCAGCATTAAATTCATATATACAGTTGGAGGCATTATTGGGTCAATAAGGCCTCTCACAAAACCTATCAAGAACATGCCCAGGTCACCGCCAAAAAAGAAAATGTAAGAAATTGAAATGAAAGGAATAAGAATCTCATGTTTTTTTAAGTTTAACACTGAAGACTGGAGTAAAGTCTGCTAAAAACCACAGGATTTTTTTTTACTATTTTTGATCAAATAAATGCAGTCTTAGTGAACATAATCTTCTTTCAAAATTCTTCCCAAAAAAAAAAAAAAAACTTAAAAAACTAACAGAAAACCTTTCTTACAATGTTTAACAGTGTATATGTGTGTGTGTGTGTGTGTGTGTGTGTGTGTGTGTGGGTGTGTGATCTGGACATGTCATTGTGAGATCTGTGCTATGATAAGGAGAACTTGGAGAGAATATGCATGATTATGTTATCTCCAATACATATCTGAAATATTACAACCCAAACCCCAACCACCCCACCACCCTCATTCAGATACATTTACCTTGACAGCACTAAAAAAAAAGCTTGCATACAAACACAGAACATAAGAATATTCATAAAAAATTTAGTGTGAAATCTTCAGACCACTGGAAATATGACATGGCCAAAAAACAGCTGTAGACGCACTTCCACTCTCAAAGGAATCCAATGGAAATCGGTGGAGGTTAAGTTCTCTATTTAATGCCCTTTTCTTCTTTCTCTTCTAATGGCCTCAGTGTGAAGTGCTTGGGTCCCATGAAAGGAACCTGCTCTCGATGTTGTCTGCACAGTTAACCAAATACATGTCCTTCAGAGTGTCTACGAACATCTGGATGCGGTGACATGGCAAAACATTGTTCCCTCCTCCACTGCCACTGTCACTCCAAACCTTCAGCATCTGGTAGTGGGCATCTTTGCTGTTCCTGTGGTCTTGTTCCGCCCTGTCAATGCTCTGCTCAGAAACACCAAGTCGACGTACAAGCTCTTTAAATCTTCCAAAAGGCACCTCGTCCAGCACAAAATAGAAGAACTCGTGAACTACCAAAGCGAAAGTCAGAGAAAGAACGACAACAGACGTGAATAATCTTTAAGCATCATCACCTAAGCCTAAATAAGGGATTTATGTGTAGAAACAAATAAACACAGACATACATTTGATCTCTCTTGGGACGCAGTCTGGGAGTTTTCCATTTTGTTCTGTTCCGCACGGCTGGTTTGTGAAAGGAACGCTCTCATCGTGTTCTGTGTCTGGTGCCACTGTGATAATCAATGTCTGTGGAAAACATTAAAAATACATATTAATTACTTAATAAACAATACAATAATAAACATTTTTTAAATAATACTGCAGGTGGCTATGGCCTAATAATTATTTAAGAATTTCTTTTAAAATTTCTACATCAAACAAATAAATGCTGTTTTTTTATTTTCTATTCATCAAAGAATACTGAAAAGTATCACGGTTTTCACAAACATATTAAGGAGCACAAGTGTTTTCAACAATGACAATAATCAGCATATTATTATCATTTCCGAAGAAATGCTGCCTGGAGAAATGGCTGCTGAAAGTTTGGCGTTACCATCACAGGAATACATTACATTTAAAAATATATAACCGTTTAACTAACAGTATAACTATTTAAAACAGAAAACAGTTAATACAGCACCACTTTAGCATTTATTTCTGAAAGACATTAGTGCAGTTCTATTAATATTATTTGTCATTGGCTGAGAGTTCAGATGGGGGTCCCTGTGATAGAAATATTAGTATTAGTATTTATGATAAAAGCTGAATCATCTTCTGTAAAAACAGAGCTATGGTAATTATGTGTTTAGCAGCAGATGTGAATCACTCGCATTGTGAAGAAGAATGGTTGTGGTGTCTTTGTCATTGTTTGTCATAGGTCAATCAAGCATTTTACCTGATCTTCGGAAGCAGGTGATGATTTTTGCGATGACAAAGCATGCCTCTTTTTCTTCCAAAGTCTGATGCCCTCGTATAACATGAACACTCCCAGTGCTAGAACCATGATGCATGCACCCACAGGGACAAGTATTTGAGGTATTGAGCCTGAAACATCAATGAGACCAGAAACAAACCAATTAAAATCAGCCCTCAATATTATTTCTTGCCTGAGGACACGTGTTGTTTTTGGACCATACAGAGACGTTTTGCTTAGTCATGGCTAGACAAATTCAAAGGAACCTGAGAGGGGACTTCCCAAGATTACTCATGCTTTCTAAAAACATTTTAGTACTAGCTCTCTTTATCGATACACTCTAAAGCCATACAGTAGCCTGTCTGGCATCCACAATATTAGGAAAGCCAACAGACATCAGCTTTTTCAATATTTTCGATTTCCAAAGGATACACATTTTTGGATGGATGTTGATCAGTACCAGTGGTGTGCGGTGGTGTTTTTTTTTTTTTTTTTAGAAAATAAAGCAAATGTAAATTCTTGTCTCAGTTACACATTTTCCTGGTTAAATAAACATTACTTACAGTATCAAAAAAAACAAATACTACTCTAGGTTACACTTTATTTTAAGGTGTCCTTGTTAGTGTAATTATACATTTAAGTACTGAGTAATATTAATTACTATATGGTTAGGGTTAGGATTAGGGTTTGGTTTAGGGTTACTTGCATGTAATTATGAATAATTTATTGTTATTATAATAGTAAGTATATGCAATATGTGTAACAAGGACACCTTAAAATAAAGTGTTACCCAGTTCTATTTTGTAATGTAAGTAATGTTCTATTCATTAAAACAAAGTAGAAATCTCATCAAGCTAGTGTTTTAAGCATTTTTTTTTACATTCATTCCAAAACAATAACTATTCAATAATAACGACTATTCAGCTGTTCTTATTAACAGTCAACTTTTCAGATCATTAGTCATAAACTAGAAATTTCACCAAGCTAATTGCTCACTAAAAAAATCCCACAGATCATGTTTTCAGGCGATTTGAAGTTTTATTTTGACGTAACTTTTTTTTTTTTACATTTTAATTAGGCTTCCCATTAATGCCATAAGTTTGTTCATTCAGACTGATAAGCGAACGTGTGACAAATACAAAAACTGGAGGCGGGATTTATTACATGAACCAAATCATAGCCTCTTCTCATGTGATTTTCCCCCATTCATTCTCAACTTACTGTACCCCTTATGAAACCCACCACATGCCTTAGGGATCTGTTAAAACGCAATAGGCTTAGGAGAGGCAAGAGAGAGGCAGCCTCCTGCTGTAATCGCTGTTGTAGTGTTACTTAAAAAAAAACCTAGTGATTTTCTTTTTAATTTCATATTTTGCAATATTTGCATAGTTTTCTCATCCAGTTTTTTGAAGAGGCACTGCCTCCCTTGCCTCCTCAGAGGAAATGTCCCAGGTCAGTACTCACCTGAAGCACTAGTTGGGTTGGCAGACCTTAAAGGGTTAGGAGGTGTGCTGGATTTGCACAAGTGTGGACACTCATCCTGACATCTATAAGATATAAAGAACACACATGTTGATTATTTTGTCTGCCATGTCTAAAGTTATACAGATCTGTAAATGTATCTGTTAATTACCCATTAAAACAATTTTCATGTGCTAATTCAGTACACTTCAGTGTATGTATGTAGATGAGCAGTAACAACAGGGAACGCATTCCGTATAAAGGTTTTTATAAAGGATAGTTTGTCATTTGTAGATATTCTCACTTCAGTTTTTCAATATATATAAAATAATTTAAAGGTGAATCATCCTGTCTGTCTTGGGCCAGACATTTACGCAAGTATACATGAACACAAAAAGGAGAGCTTGGTCAGCATCATTACAACATTAAGTGCATATTTTATGCATGTAACTAACTGGCTCAGGAAAGTTCTCTTCATACTGACAGTAGTTGATTAAAAAAAAAAAAAAAAGACAAAATTGGTTCCCATTCGTTGACAGCATGGATTATTATTGTTACAAAAAATGAAAACTAAATACATTTTTAACTGAAAAATGTATCATAAAAAATAGATTCCAACCTGCAATTGCCACTAGATCAAAACTGTCCTGGCAAATTTTTTTAATGATACCAATTAGCACCTTAATTGTAGTAGACCTAAAATACTAAGAGTAAAATAATAATAATAATAAACAATTAAATACTAAAAATTCTAAAACACTAAAACTAAAAAACTAAACTAAAACCAACAATAACAGAGTGAAACATAAAATTCAAAATAAAATTATTTAGAATAAATGTCAAATTTAAAATGACTATAATATCCGAGATGTGTACTTGTATTGAGTTGTTCATTTCAGTTAAACACATTTCAAAATGCTACAACGCACGAAACTGAGCTTGTGTAGTTAAATGCTTCTGAATTCATAAGTGTACTTATGTAGAGTATGTCTCTGCACATTAGCATGAAATGTAAAGCATTGCAACACAGAAAATATCATGCTTCACCTTTAACATAACATTTTCAGGACAGCAGACATAAATGCAAGGAAGGACGTCTGTACTTGTAGACTTTTCGAAATCAAAAGATGAATGAGTGCATTCGTCAACTTAACCTCTGAACAAGTGCCACATCATAACAAGTGCCCGCAGGATTTTGAAGAGTACCGAAGTGTGACTTACTTAACACACAGCTCACAGAGGTTTTTGCCCTTGACAGCATAATGGTTTTCTTTGCATTGACACTTTGTATTCTGTTCCCCAGCACCTGACAAAAGTGAAAACATTAACTAAGGGTATCCTATAATGTAAAAACAAGATTAATATATAGCTTTAATTTATTTACGTAGCTTTATTAAGCTTGAGGGACTTACATTTCACAGCTATCAGCTGCCCAGATCCACACTTCTTACAGCTAGAACATTCCCATGCCAAGTCGCCTAATTTCTTATAGTAGTATTCAGGCTCACACCCACACACCCTATTGCTTTTGAATGTACATGGTGATATCTCTATGGAATGGTCTGTGATTAAAGGATGAAAGGCATATGAAAACTGAGCAAAGGTCAAATTAATTGATTGTGTGAAGTTTTTAACAATCATCCACATATTAAAGGGATACTTTCATCCCAAAATGAAAATTGTCATCATTTACTCACCCTTATATGGTAGAACACACAAGAAGTTATTTTAAAAAATGTCTTAGTGTTTTTTTTGTCAAAACAATTAAAGGGGCCATATGATGTTGCTAAAAAGAACATTATTTTGTGTATTTGGTGTAATGAAATGGGACTCCGCTTCGTCCATGGTGAAAGCCGATCTGGCGATCCACAGCGCGAAGTTGTTGTATTTCCTCAGCAACCAGCACGGATCAGCTCTAGGCATGACGAAGCAGATATCGTCCTCTTTTGGAAGGCCAAACAAAGTAGTTTCGCTTTCACAACGAAACACACAGCGCCTTCACGACATGGTGGCGGCAACAACAATACTACAGCGAGATTAAAAGTTATGCCTTCTTTCTTTGCGTGAACATTTGGGCGGCGTTATGCGAATCTTCCCAGATAGTGACGTAGGTATGTGGGGGCATGTTAGAACGAGCCGTTTTAGGTAGGTGTGGCTGACTCTTAACTTTTATAAAGAATATCTCTTTGGATTTGAGACTTTAGTCTTTGCAACTTTACAGATCTTCTTTATGCACCAAGAGCTTGTAACACTCCAAAGAGAAAGCAAAAATTGAAATCGCATCATATGACCCCTTTAAAGTAAATTAAATTGACCCCACTTACTTTCATTGTTTAGACAAACACTGTTAAGACATTCTTCCAAACTGTGTTCCGCAGAAGCAAGAAAGTCATACAGATTTGGAATGATGTAACAGTTATGTAAATGATGACAGAATTTTCATTTTTGGGTTAACTACCTCTTCAATAACAAGAAATACGAAAATCAAAGTTTTAAAATGGCATTACCTTTGTTGCACTTCCTGCAACTGAAGCAGTTTTCATTGTGGTTTGAGTTATCTAGGTAGGTTCCATTCTCACATTTTACACATTCGGACCTCTTATTTGGTTCAGGGCATTTCTCTTTCAATTTAAACCCTAGGGTAGAAAACAGAAGGACAAAGGACAAAACAAAACCATCAATGAAAGCTGAACAAAGGGTTTCTTTGAAAAAAACAACACACACCCTGTTGCTACCCATTATCCATAGTTAACTGTTTTAAATGTTAACAGCTTTGATCCATTATATGATAAATGTTCTTCTAACCAAAAAAACACAGCAGTCACAGAATTTATTGAAAGGATATACACTCTGTACATCTATAACATAAAGCCTGTATTTAAATTTGCTTTACCTGGATGACATTTATCACAGCAGAATCCCTTATTATTCCAGTATTCATTATCAGGACAAGTTCCTTTCACAGTCTGACCTCCACTAATGGCAAAATTTGATATTGTATATGACTGGCTGATTAGAGCCTGTGGGGAACAAAAGAACATTTAGGTTAAAAATACCACGGGAAATGACTGTGATAGCATGCACCTTATATTATGTGTGAGTGCACAGTGCAATACTGTATTTTACAATGAAAAGTGCTTTATTTTACCTTTCCTTTCAAGTGTGGTGAATAAACCAGAAGTAATACCTCGCACACAACTTTTCCACTTATTATTATTACTATACTTATTATTATGAAAATGAAAATTGGATGAATGAATGGCTACGTTCAGATTGTTTACCACCTACAATTTTTATTACCAACAGCAAGCATTAATACAAGATAAATGATTGAAATATTAATATGCTATATTGCTATCACATTATCTCATTACATATGTTAGCCTCGTCACGTTTAATTTTGTGTTCAGTGTTGTTAATTATTTTTTTGTATTTTTTTTTTTTATGTCTTAACATGTAGAAGTCCGATCAAATAATGAGTGATGAAAAGGAAGTGCCTCATAAATTATTTTGAGGAATGAACTATAACAATATAAAAGAGAAGCTTGTGATTGGTGGATATTTCTTTAGAATTGTGGGTAAGGTAGTCCTTATTCATTTTTTCTTTTTTTAATGAAATTACACTGACACATGGCTTACACTCATCATAACTTGCAAAATCTCAATGTAGGTATGTCCTAAAATGTTTATATGTTATAGTTAAAATTAGATTATGGAACCTGACTATTCATTTTATGTATAGGTAAAGTCACCGAACAATTAACCAATTAAAACATGCCTTTAATCATAGTCAACCATGATGAAAAGCAGCCCAACACAACCTTTTAATAAAGTATTTTAGATGGACACCTGGGGCACTTTTGAAAATGAAGGTTCATGGCTGAATAAATGCTCTGCTAATACCATCTTACCAGCATTACATAAGCGATCAGCTGACATTTCCTCATGGCCGCTATAGGGGGCGCTAAAGCACTACTTCTCACTTCACCAAACACACTGTGCAGACAGAGGAGAGGGGAAAGTGTAGGTAAGAGTTAATATTTTACACATTATAATTTCACAGCTTTATCTAATAAAGAAAAACAACAGTTTTCATGAACTCCGATGTCCTTGTAGCCTATCAAGCAGATTATTCTTACAGTAACCTATTGCGAAATAGTGCCTACATGACACAGTACATGTACAGTGTCTACAAACCACACACAGTAACATCTAAAATACAGTTTTTATTGTTGATGCCAGCTGAGACCCCCACAGACATGTACACTAGGAAAGACGGCAAACGGGGAGACGCTTTAACATTTCCATCCGTTTCAAACCACGGTACAATCTCGACACCCACACTTAAAAGTGTCACATTAGAGATAACAATCGAGTTCCGTATGGAGATTTTACAGCGCGTGAACTTACCTCTACTCATGGCATTGTCTTTTCTTACTCTGCCAGAAGCGTTCTATCATCCCCAATAGAGCTAAAATATAGCCTATATTTAAAAACTTTAAAAAAAATGTGAGATGGGTGAAGTATCGCTACCGTCCATTTCCTCGGAGGAGAAGGGCAGTCTTTAACTGGAAATGTTATGCGTCACAACAACTCCTCCTCTCGTGCCAATTCTCATGAAGGAATTCGAGAGTCTGGATGAAACCGAAAGTACTCTAAAGCTTCTGTAGCAACTTTGAGAAAATCACAGTATTTACACAGTGATAGCGGCACATTGAGGGACACAAAACGTCCTTGGTCAATGTACTAAAGGTAGCCTATTACTGTCTGTGTTGTTGAATATCTTTTGTTGTGCGTTGTAGACTTACCATATATGCACATAGCCTTCCTTTGTGAAAAATAAATATACTAAAATGTATTTGAAAAGCTAAAATATAGCCTATATTTAAAAACTTTAAAAAAAATGTGAGATGGGTGAAGTATCGCTACCGTCCATTTCCTCGGAGGAGAAGGGCAGTCTTTAACTGGAAATGTTATGCGTCACAACAACTCCTCCTCTCGTGCCAATTCTCATGAAGGAATTCGAGAGTCTGGATGAAACCGAAAGTACTCTAAAGCTTCTGTAGCAACTTTGAGAAAATCACAGTATTTACACAGTGATAGCGGCACATTGAGGGACACAAAACGTCCTTGGTCAATGTACTAAAGGTAGCCTATTACTGTCTGTGTTGTTGAATATCTTTTGTTGTGCGTTGTAGACTTACCATATATGCACATAGCCTTCCTTAGTGAAAAATAAATATACTAAAATGTATTTGAAATACATTTATTTCATGCTATGTATACTACAAATACATTTACATATTGTGTACTTAATAAAAATACACTGCAATTGTACTTTTGGTAGGCTATAGGCCTACTAAACTGCTGTGCTATACAACAAATTTTGCACTTTAATTGTGCAGAAGTAGTGCTGAAGTCCAACTAAAGATATACTGAAGTATATATATATTTGTTTTTTGTGCTATTTTTTTTAACTATTGCAAGTAAACTTTAGGTGCACTTTAAATTCCTTGCATTTAAAGACCAGTATTATTCAAATATCCAATCCTCATCAATAATGACATTAAAACACATTTTAGGTTTAATATTAAGTACTCCAAATAAAGTTTAATTATAATTTTTATATCAGTCTCAAGTTATGTCAGTAAATATGTTAATAGATTTGATAATAGATTTTTATACTTAGTATGAAATAAATGTATTATAAATATATAACTTTTTTTTTACTAGGGTTTATATATCAGAATGTCAAACTAGACTTTAAAAAGCCATAATTAACCCCAAAATGAAAATCATAATTTAGCCTAATCACCCTCATGTCATGAATTTCTTAATTCGTGAAACTAAAAAAAGACATTTTGAATATTCTGGTTAATAGTTGCAACTTGCAGCTGCATTACTGAGTGAATGATTTGAACTTAGAACACGATCAGATTGAATCATTCAGAGCGGTTTTATAAATAGGATCAACCGATTCTTTGAAAAGATCCGACTCAAATCATTCTTCACAAATCAGACATCTCTACTTACATGACTTTTGCCCCTAATTTGCAGTCTGGATGAGCCGACCCCAGTTGAGCAAGTCTGCAGATTTAAATTTCAGTCTGTTTGCCACAAAAAGCAATCATATGACTTCACGTGGACCGCTTTTATCATGTTATGGTGACTTTTTGCCCCATTTGAGGCTTGACATTCTCAATGCATGGATCAGAAGAGTAATTCTTCAGAATTTCTCCTTTTGTGTTCTATGTAAAAAAGGAAGTCATATGAGTTCACCTGAGGGTGAGTGACAGCATTATCATTTATGAGTGAATTATCAGTTTAAGTAAGGCCATATATCAGACTTAACATAAAAATAAGTACAAATTTATGTATGAAAAAAGTATGCGTGTGGTTTTGCATTGCATTGCATAATAACTAAGGAAATTATCTTTGTTTTGAAATAGCATGTTTTGTCTTTATTTTTCTCCAGCTAATATGACCTTGATAAGATCTTAAACTCTTCACTGAGTTGAGGAAGAAGTTAAAGACTTTTTTTGATTATCGCAGACAGAATGTACGTATTTAGCTGCATACTGAGGCGAAGAAATAACTTCCTCACTTCTGAAACCACATCCTGTCTCCATTTCCCCTGTGACCTGCAATGTAACCATGGAGATTGTACAAATGGCCCACGGATTGTTCTTTAGCATGGTGCCAAAATTAATTCAAAACAAAAACAAATAACATATTATGCTGTTAAAGATCTTCTTAAAGGTCTGATATTTAATTCACATTGTATGATAAGCACATATTTTTCATTTAACTATTTTTCGTTTTTCTATCTGATGGTAGTTAAAAAAACACTAATACTGGTTGTATTCCATTAACCTTCCAAGAATGCCTTGCTGAAAGCTTGAGAGAGGGAGGAAAAGGATGAATAGTGGTGTTTGTGTTGCCATGAACTGAATAATTGTAGTGAATCAAACACTGCAGGTAACTGCTGCTACTGTTCAGATGACTCACAATTTGTCTATCTAGTGCATAAGAGCCTTAAAAATGGGTTGCAATGGTTTTTCTGGGACAGTTTAGTTGGTGTTGGGCACAAATGTTAGTTGTTTGCCTTCCACATACACTGAATGGAAATATATTTATTTGGCTATACTAAAGGTCTGGTGAATAGAATGGCTGTGAAAGGCGAGTTCTCGCCTCTGCACACGACTACATAAATAACTGATTCCAGGCCTTACAAGGTTGATAAACCACAGACATTTTGCCTGATCAGTCAGCAAGATACTGCTGTTTCATTAGCTTGACCAACAGGGCCAATATTGCACCAACATGGTTTGCCGCAAGATTACACAACCAGTCTAAATTAAATGCCCAAGCATAATATTTGTTTCCAATATCAGCAGGGCAGAATGCTGAAGGCAATTCAGATTCAAAGCATACTACAAATACATTTGCGTATTTATGTGCTAAATAAAAATACCCTGCAATTGTACTTACGGTATACTAAACTGGTATACTTAAAGTCTGCTAAATTGAAAATTGAACTAATTTTGTACTTCATGCATTTGTGTGGAAGTATTGCTGAAGTCCAATTAACGATATACTGAAGTATATTTGATTGTGCTGAAGTGGAACTATTTATTGCAAGTATACTTCAGGTACACTTTAAATATATTGCATTTAAAGACAAATGTTATTCAGAGATCATGCAATCCTCATTAATATTGACATTAAAAAAAAACATTTTATACTTAATATTAAGAAATGCGCATTATAATTTTATATCAGTAAGTCTCGAGCGATATGTAAGTAAATATGTTAATAGATTTGAACTGTACTTAGTATTAAATAAATGTATTTTAAATATATAACTTTTTTACTAGGGAAGTAATCTTCACCAGTCTGACAGCAACAAGTGAAATGCAGCGAAAGAACGAAGAATGTGCTTTAACACCCTCATTTCCTGTTTTAGCCATACATGTCAAGCGATTATCCTCACTGGCCATCAAAACTGTAATCATCAGACTAATGGTCGGACTCATGTAAGGTCCTTCTGTTAGTGTTGGACTTGAGTATATTACCTGCTTTTCTTTTTGTTTGTTCAGTTTCCATCTCTAAGTACTGAGTACAGTATACCACCTTCTCATTTTTTGGTGTTATTGAATTCTGTCTGCAACTGCATTCTTTTGACCATGGAAGCCACCATGGAAGCCCCCC